CCTTTTCCTGACTTCTGCCAGCAATCTGCTGCAAAGTGTCCGAGCTTTCCACAGATACAGCAAGTTGATTCTTTCCTTTTTCGATTCTCCATAGCCTTTTCCAACTTGCCAGCTATTCTTTCCGCGTTCTTTTTTTTTTTTGGACTGACGCCTCTTTACTACATCAGTAGCGCAGTAGGCCGGTCTTGTTGGGCTCGACATAACAGGTGAAACGAAGTCAGCGCGCTCAAACCACCAAACACACCACGCAACCACCCAAGAACCAAAGAAACAGAAGAAACAAAGCAAGCAAAAGCGCTGAACTACTAGGTAACCCCACGCACTCAGTACTCGAAGTCGTCGTTGAAGTCCCGGTGCAATCATACAGCACAGAGCATGCGGGGAATCGCAAATTGCGACACTGCCAGATTCTCAAAACCACCATCATGTAGCTACTGGTGCGACATCATTCGAATCGAACCGAGGTCATCACTCGACGGTCAGGATCACGTACCCATCGTCAAGGACAGATAACAGACCCGCAGTGGCAAAGGGATGTTACAGGTCAGACTCCCCAAAGGAGAGGAAAGACGTGCGTATGCCCCACGGTGGTCAGCCAGTGGGGACTTAACAGCAAGAACTATCAAGGCAAGACCGGCCCAGGGCACTCCATGGTGGTCAGCCAGTGGAGCAGCCCCGAGCGAAAGGTCCTCCGCTCACCCTGGCTTGCAGCTGCGCCCACCTGGATAGATGTCCGCGCACAAGCAAAGTCTCATCAGACGGCCAGAGGGGAGGCCAAGCCTTCACTGCGTGAGTAGCTACAGCTACCGTTTCCACCGTGAGCGTCATCAGCACACAAGGCCACACAGCTTTTGCGTTGGCCTGCGCATCAGTCTGCATCAGGTCCCTCCAAACCCTAACCCACGAGGTACGTCGGTAAGGAGATGGGAGGGCTCACATCACGTTTGCGTGCCGAAGCGCAAGGATCTCCATGGTAAAACTGCTTTGATCCAATCAGAGCCATCAGGTTACAGCCAAGCAAGCGGCGAAACAGCTGTGCCGCCGCAGGCCAAGCACAGACGAGGATGACCCTCTTGAAGGCCAGGTTAGTGCACAGGTGCTCAATGGCTCCCTGCCATGGCAGTGGGTGTATATTCTCCACATAGAAGTGCCCACAGTCTGGAAGAAAGCACCGCAGTATTGGTCTTTCCAGAGTCGGCACTCAGCCGAGATATTACAGAAGGGCGGGTCACATTGCCGTGACAGCACGTGAATCACGCGTCGTCTCGTCCAGCGATGAGCAGCGGGGCAACAAGGGTTGGCGGTTGTTGGGTCTCAAGGCCGAAGGGTTCACGTAAGGCCATAGCACAGAAATGGAGCAACCGACCCGGCTGACGGGGGCAGAGGAGAGGAAGACTGGGCAGTCTTACCTTGGACATAACACGATGAACAATCAAGGCAAGACCAGCCCAGAGTACTCCATGGAGGTCAGCCAGTGGAGCAGCCCCGAGCGAGAGGCTCTCCGCTCCATTAGGCTCACCGCAGCGCCCACCCAGAAGGGTGTCCCCAAAAATTATAGAAAGGCTGATTGTGGGGTTTCCACCTCCAGCCTCTGGGGTCAACACCGCCCCATCTTCATTTTTCATCACACATTTCCACACATCATTCTCATCATCATCATCTTCTTCATTCTACATCATCATCTCCTCCTCATTCGTTTTATGGGGGTTGGTTCTAGGGTTTCATCATAAATTTCCTAAATTTAAGTCCTTTTACCCTTAAATTTCATCACATCTAGCCCCCTCATTCATTATTTTCATCATAATTTCAGGGATTATCATAATTCCTAGGTTTCTGGGGAGTTTGACCTTCTAATGTTTTGTCAAATATTCATAATAATTTTTATTATGAAGCTTTGTTGGGGTTTTTGGTCTTTAAGGTTAGGGTTTTAGGTGAAAGGCGCGCCTTGGCTTCTTCGTCTTCGTTGACATCATCCTATGATGGTCAGCCTTGCTCGCTTGACTGATTGCACAGCCGTTCCGTGAATGCATTTCCTTATCTTTGCTTGAAATGAGTAATCAGCAAAACTTGACTGATTGAAGGCGTTCTGTGCTCACAAGTTATCGTGTAGTGTATCTGTTGTTGATGCAATGTCGGGATACGCGGGTGAAGTGCCAGCAGTTCCAAGCGATGAAGCGCCAGCAGTTCCAAACGATGAAGCGCCAGCAGTTCCAAACGATGAAGCGCCAGCAGTTCCAAACGATGAAGCGCCAGCAGTTCCCAGCACAGGGGTTGCAATCTTGCCAGAAGTTGCCGTTAAGGATGCCAAGTTTGTCGTGGAGAAGCATACCAAGGAAAACCTTCGCAAGATTCTAAAGGAAACCGAGAAGCAGGCACTCATGGCTATCCCAGATGACGGAATTCCGGAGAAGCTTCAGAGCATCAAGGATGGTATCAAAAAGTTGCTTGCCGAGGAGTTGTACCTTACCGAGAACCGCGTCATTGAGAAGAACAAAGACAAGACCGCGACAAGCATCAAGAACTTCACGGTGTCGGTTCACTACAAGGGAGAGATGAAGCCACTCATCATCTCCTCCACTACAAGCATGAAGGATGTGAAGAGCACCATTTTCTCAAAGTACGAGATTTTGCCCAAAGACCAGACCAAGAGGCGCTTCTTCGCCTTGACCAGTGAGACTGTGGCGACAAAGAGTACCGAGGTTCTCAAGAATGCGGAGATTACCACCATGCACGGCAAGAAGTTGGCGGGGACAATCTTCAATGACCAGACTCACATTCGCGTGGAGTGAGTTATCGCTCGCTTTAGATGATTACCGGAAAGACTGAACCGTTCGTGCAAAGTAGGTCTTTCACAACGCCACTTGAAACCTTCTTGCCGACACAGAGCAGAGCACAAGTGTGAAAAAAAATCACACTATCAGAAGATGGGCGTGTTCCTCTCTCTTTTCTTGTTACACAAAGCATTTGATTGCTTTATGTTCACAGCATTTGTTGCTCACTTGCTGTAGTCAGGGTTCAGGATAAGCACTTACTTTTCGTCATGGTCTTGCTGGGCGTGAAGAAGCATGTGACAAAGAAGGAGGCGATGGACGTCTTCAAGAAAAAATCACTTGCAAACAGCGTTCCCGAGAATGAAGAGTTGCCTACCGATGTGCAGTTTCCTGAAGAGTTCCTTGCATTCATGCAAAAGGTGAAGGGCAAGATGGACGAGGTAAAGACACTTGTTGCTCAAGAAGTTCCCATTTTGAAGATGGCACTTCGTTCTTTGCCAAACGACAAGCTCAATGAGGTGAAGGACTTGATGCAAGAAGCAATTCGTGGATGTCGTGGTGACACAAGTGAAGCACGATTTTTTCGCGTCTTGGAGGTTCTTTTCCCTTCAATGTCTATCTTGAACAATGCCCAGAAAGAGCTCAACAATATCCAGAATGACTACCAGCGCTACTTCTTGTTGCTGTTCATTGACAACTACAGTGAAGCATCAGGTAGCACCGTCAAACATGGCAATTCACGCTTCCTCGGTGAGATTATCACTGAAATAGACCGTCGTAGAGATGAACAGCGTATGCCTTCAGCTTCAAATTCGGATGATGCACCCAATTGTGTAATATCCTAAAAGAAAGAGGTGTACACCAAAAGCGGGGAGTGCAAACACCAAAAAGGTGTACACCAAAAGCGGGGAGTGCAAACACCAAAAAGGTGTACACCAAAAGCGGGGAATGCAAACACCAAAAAGGTGTACACCAAAATGGTGTGCATCTTCTTGCCTTAAACGCCCTTTTGGGGGAGTCCACTAAATGTTTAATTCCGGACTTCGGGTTTTGTTGTAGGGGCACGGCAACCAAAGAATGAGAAGTCGGCCTAAAATGTGCGATGTGCAGGATGCATACCAGCCTAAACCCCCTAAACCCCAAAATATCAGATTTCAAGTAGTCATATTCATAAAAATATCCCAAAAATATAAATACCCTGAAAATACAGGCAATTCCCACACAAAATAACCCAAAATCCCAAAAATAATATATATCATAGATTTCAAACCATAAAAAATAAGTTTAACCATCCTACCCGAGGGACTTTAAGACCCTTAAACCCTAAAATAAAAGAATAAAGACATAATATCCTCGCGACAGGTGAAGAGCGTCATTGAGATGCAGACGTCTCAAAGTGTCGGGCACTTCGTGCCTGTCGGCACTTCCTATCATTGAGACGCTGTGAGGGTTTAGGGTTTAGGATTTAGGCGTTGGGGCTTGTTGTGGTTTAGTCCTTTCGGTTTAGTCGCTCGGGCGTTGTGGTTTAGTCCTTTCGGTTTAGTCGTTCAGGCGTTGTGGTTTCGTCCTTGAGGGTTGTTGTGGTTTAGTCCTTTCGGTTGAGATGTTGGAGCTTGTTGTTTTTTTAGGTAGGTCTGTTGTTTTGAAAAAAAGGAACGCACCCCTTTTTATTCTTGCTTTTAGTGTCTTGTATCCCCCTCGTGTAAAAAAGCGTTCCTTTTTTTTGATGATTTTGTTTTTTGGGTTTGGTTTAGGAATTTGGTTTTGCTTACACAGCTCCGCGTGCCTCGCCTTGCCCTTTTCGTTTTATGAAAACATTTTTACAAAAACCCTAAAAAGAATGAAGATGAAACCCTTAAAGGAGTGCCCCACCGCGCGCCCACCAGCCCCAGCGCCCCTACTTAAAGGGAAGGCACCCTTAAAGGGTATGGAGCCTGATGACGGAAGTCCCGACTTAAAGGATGAAACCCTATATACTTATATGGAAGATACATTAAAAAAATCTGTTATGAAATACGTTTTATCTTCAAAAATAGGTGAGATTAAAGTTAATAATAAAGGTAAACAGCTAAAGCGAGTAATTATAAACGGTAAAGAGTATTCATATTGAAAGACTTTTCTCTGAACCGCAAAGGGCTGCCGATTGATATGGATACATGTGAGGCAAAAGGAGTGCAACTCTTACACCCCGCCTCGAGATTTCCTGAGTGCTGTACTCAGGAACTCTCGCTACATTTCTGTTGCCCTGGGCCGAATACAAATATCACAGGCCCTGTATCTGGCGATATGACGACTGTTGGCCAGGGCTCCGCAATCTTCACGATGATACACTGTGCCCCGGTGAGTTGCGATTGTGATTGACTCGGGGGCATATCCTAGCCCTTCACTCCTAGCGAGCCTTGCACGAAGATCCCTATTCTCATTGCGAACCTCAATCAAAGCTTCCTCGCATTGCTCTACAGTACGATGTTCTTCATGCAGGGCTTCGGTGAGAAAACTACATCTGTCGACATACTCGTTCATGAACTGCCGCTCGCTTGGTGACATTCCGATGCTCGCTTGGGTGTAGCGGTTCACCTTTTCCACTTTTGCTTGGCTGGCCTGGTCCACAGTTGCTCGTCGGCCTGGAAGGGCCCACTTGTAGATCCACCAAATGACCCACAAAGCCCCAAGCCAAAACAACACTACTACCAGGCCAGTCGCCATCGTAGCCACTCCAGACAGAAGAGCATCTTCCATCATCGCCATCGTCACGGCGAGGCCCAAGCCCTCTGCACCATCAGCCCCAAGCACTTGGGCCATCACAAGCAAGATCGGCAGAATTTTCTTCGCATGCACTAGGTCCACTCCGCTGCTTTTCATCATTTCTTTCACTTGCATCTTGCTCTGGGATCTCTCAAGGTCCTCAAGTCCATATGGATTTCCATCATCGTCCACTGCTCCACTTCGACATAGGAGCTCTCGGACGCGAGGGCCGCTCAGAGGTTTTGTACCCAGGTCAGAGGGGTTTCGTTGCCCTGACACAGGGCTTGCACGGAAGACCTTGGCTTTGATGGCCTCTTGGACCCACAAAAGGCCACAGCTCAAGTGTCTGACCTTGCCGCAGCCGATTCGCTGGCTGATGCCTCTAGCTGCAGCACTGTCACTTCGAAGCACAACATCAATCTCAGCGAACCCTTTCATCAAGTAGTCGAGGCACTCCCGGATGAACACAACTTCAGTGCCCCCACTCACCATTGCAACGAACTCCGACTCCCCGCTGCTGAGCGACACAGATTTCTGAGTTCTAACGTGACTGGCAATCAAGCTGCCACCCAGGTACAGATGCACCGAGGAGCGAGACTTTCTTGTTCGCTTGCACCCAGCCCAGTCAGCATCTGTTACGGATTCCAAGACGACCTGGCCTCCGTGCTGAAGGGGTCCTGAGCCTTTGTATTCCAAACAGGCTGCTTGTTGCAAAGGCTTGATCAGGAAGCCAAGACTGGGAACCTTCTGGAGGTAGCCGGCGACTTTCGCCAGCCACTTGTAGGCCATAACTGTTGGTGAGCTCATCTTACTTGCAAGGACACATGTGCTGTACTGTATGTCCGGCCTCGTGTGGCTCAGGTACAAGAGCCTGCCAGTACACTCCTTGTACTGCTTGGCCCTTTCAGGAGCGAGGGCGGCACTTGTATCAGCTTCCAAGAGACTGGCATCTCCTGGAGTGTCTCTGCTTTTCAATCCAGGCCCCATTGCTTCCAAGAGAGCCTCAACATGCTTTTGCCCCGAATACATTGCTATCCCATCTTCAAGCTTCACATATCTTCGCTTCAGGAACTCCAGCTCATCCCCCACCTCCTTCAGTGGGCTGCTGATTTGGACCTTGACCTTCTTGGCGAGCACTTTCTCAAGGGCTTGTCGGGCTGCTGGTGTTGAAGCAAGAAGCCCATCATCAGCATGCAGCACCAGGCCTGTGTCACAGCCAGGCCTCTCATCTCGGAACAAGGTGGGCTCCTTAGCAAAGCCGGTGAGCCCCGCCTCCGCAAGCATCCCCTTCATGTACTGGAACCACTCACTGGCTGCAACCCTCTGGCCTGGCAACAGCCTCTCAAGCACAAACCTCCTAGAGCCACTGCTCTGGGTGTCAAAGAGCCGCGCGTCGACCTCGATCACCACTGGTGCCTTCTGCGGCACATTCAGGTAGGCGTCCTTGATGTCGAGCGTGGTGAGCTCGAGGCCTCTGGCTTGTGCCCAAGCCATCAGCCCATGCACCACTGCCAGAGAACTTGATGGAGCGAACAGCTCCTGCGACCACGGCGTCCACGAGCGAAACTCCCTGGCCACTAGGCGAGATCTGCGAATCCAGCCAGGCCTCTTTCGCCAGTCTCTGACTACTTTCGTAGTCAACTGCTCGTATTGCCCCAGGTCCTCTCCATCCCTGGGGGGCCTCAGTGCGCCCATGGCAACCAGGCGCTCCACCTCTGTTCTGTCGCTCTCAAGGTCCAAAGCTGCCAACTCGTCAGGGCTTAGTTCCGGCGGTGGGTCATCAGGAGACCACCACATCTCTTCACAAGCATTCTCTGTGAACTCCAGGACTGGCTCCACTTCATCAAGCCATGTCTCTGCCTGCGAATACTCATCCATTTCGACGTCGCCGTGGACCATGGAGATTCCAGCAAACCCTGGAGGGTACAGCGAGCCACCAACGCTCCCAGCAGTCGGTGAGCCTTTGGGCCGGTCCAGCAGAAGCTTGACTCGCTTGCTTGCTGGTCCCTTTTCAGGCCCCGGTCTCGTTACCTTAGTGCTGCTGTCCATCGCTGCTGACGCTTCCTCTTGTGCTGCTGGTGCTTCCTCCTCTGCTGTTGGCGCTTTCTCCTCTGCTGCTGGTGCTTTCTCCTCTGCTATGTCTTCCATTCCTTGGCTCTTTCTTGATGACCGTGACGGAGAAGATGGATTTGAGCTACTGCTGCTGGAATCCGTCCCGAGCTCGTCGGCAGGAGGCTTTGGTGTCCCTGCTGCAATGGATTCTGCGGCTGCTTTCCCCGCTGCACGCGCCAACTGCTCTAATGAAGCATGGTCTGGTAGAAGAGGAACTCGAGAAGTGTACATGGCCCTCTTCCTTCGCACTTTGCCTCCATAGTCCCATGGAAGCCCTTTCACTTGGAAGACTTCGTCGGCTGACCACTGGCTCTCCACAGGCACTCGGCGGATCGACCTGCTCTCACAAGCTCCTTCTGGCGTAAGAAGCACATGCGCATTGTTCTTCTCGTTGACGCCAACCCAAATGCCTTTTCTCCACTGGAGGTCGCCCTTGTACTTCGTGGCCTTGTGGAAAATACAACTCTCCCCGAAGACTAGGAGGCGTCCTCTGTACCGCCGTCCATGTAGGACCTCAAAGGGTGTGATGCCCCGACTGGTGGTGGAGAACCTGTTGTAAAGGAAGGCCGCGTGGCGCAACAGCCTCCAGGAAGCACTTCAACGTCATGGCATTCCGGCGGATTGTGCTCACCGCCTTCTCTGCTTGCCCATTTGAGGCGTGAGAGCCCGCAGGGGCTAGCTGGACGGCGCTGCGCAGTCCAAGCTTCACACGGCACGCTTCGACAGCGTGAAGCACCTGCTTGATGCTTGGCTCAGGATCTCCTTGCAGCACCACTTCTGTTGCCCCGGCCACCTGCATGGAAAGCCTTGTGAGCGCCTCGCTCACTTTCTTGAGCGAAGAGGAGCCTTTTGCCACCAAGGGAATGGCAACCACCCATCCACTCGTTGACTCTGCGCCCACAAGGTTCAAAGCGAATTGGTCCCTGTAGTCCTCGGCTTCCTGGGCTTCATCAGGTTGCTGGTGCTCTCCCTGTGGCTCCGGTTCCTCAGGCTCCACCTCACCTCGCTCTTTTGTGAAGGTGTAGCAATAGTCAATCTGGATGCGAGGCTTTGGCTCCTTGTACTCGTTCTCGACGATGTCACCCTTCTCCTCCGTTTGCTTCTCGTGAGGGGATTGCCTTGACCGGCTCATGACACATGCTTCACACCAGGGCTGGAAAGGGTGATGTGTCAAGGCATGTAGGTCTTGTTGCTCTTTGCTTGGAAGCACCGGCACCCTGAACTGTTCAGGATTCCTCTCCCCTTCTCGGAACATCTGCTTCGCCACCTCGGTGGAGAGCTGCTTCTCCAACACCTCCTTGTGATCACGAAGTCGCCGAAGAACACGAGCTTTTGGCCCACTCTTGCTCACCCCGAGCTTGTCACAGAGATCTTTCAGATTCTTGAGGGGGGTTTCCATGCTTAGTTCCACACCATCCAACTCGTCGTCTTCAAGATCCGCGTGCCGAACTTGTCCTCGAAGGTCCCATTCTCCTCCAAGCACTTCCATTGGCTCATCGCCAAGACCACCCCCGACATCTCCAGGCACATAGGGCTCATCGAACTCCTTGGGCTCATCGAAGAGGGTCCCGGGATTCGTCAAGATATCCCGGTTGAGCTCTGCCACGTGGAAAAGCACACACACATCCCTGAACCCAGCTAGCTCAGACTCGATGTTCGTGATCACCTTCGGCGAGTGCTCAAAGTCATAGGTCGTCGACCCACTCCCAGTCGTCGCTCGACCACACTGCCTGCTCGAAGGGGATCTCTTTGGTTCTGTGCGCCACCAGAACTGGAAGGCCTGAGGGCAGTATGCTCCACCCTGGCGTTTCGATCACATCCTCGAGCTGAGGGGGAAGCGCCGAGACATCCAACATGGCAATGGACGAAACCAGGGCAGTCATGACCAGGGTGTTCCTTCTCAATCTCATTGGGAGGATCCTTTCCCCTTGTTTCAGCACTGGACCCTTCTTTCCTGTGCTCAACCTCCAGCCGCTCCTCCAGAGCTTGCCCAGCGAGATGATGAGTGAGTTCACTTTGGCTATGGCGAACTTCTCCCGGATGGTGACCCACTTGCCTTCATCATCTTGCACCTCCACATTCAAGTATCTTGCAGCATGTTGTTGAATTTCATGGCCTTGAGCATCTCGCATGAATACTTCCAGAGGTCCAGCCGGGTCGCCCAGGCCTGCGAAGTCGAGCGGAGCCACCGAAACATCTGCTCCTGAGTCCATTACAACCTCCACTTCGGTTCCTCCAGGTTGAACTCTTCCATAGTGCTGCACCATGTTGATTTCAACCTCCGTTTCCAACAAGTTCTGGTCGAAGACGCTCGGCTCCCAAACAACCCACTCATTGTCTTCATCGGTGCTATCCATTCTGAACTCCATCACCTTCCCGGATTCCTTGGTGCTGACAGCCGACACCATCATCACCTCGGCACCGTCCAAGCTGAACTCTCCCAAATCGCTCTCGCACTCAACCTCGGAAATGTCAAAGATTTCCACAGCCCTGCAACCTGGAGGTGTTCCCAGAGGCATTGCTTGAACTTGCTGCACTGTGCTCGGTGTCCTATAGGCTGTGGCCGAGGTCGAGGCTGACGAAGCTCCGGACGAAGTGGCTCCACCACCTCCATCTTCAACTTGATTGACCCTGCCCTTGTTAGGGCATTCGTTCTTCCAATGGCCGGACTGGCCACACTTGTGGCAGACATTGCTTTGTCCTCCTCCTTTGCCCTTGCTCTTCGGGTTGCCATTGTTATTGCTCTTCCCTCCACGCTGGTTGTTTTCCCACCAGCTGTTGCTGCTGTAGTTTCCTTTGCCCTTCTGCCATCCTCCGGTGCCTTTGCCTCTACCCCACTGGGCTTGCTGCTGTCCTTTGCTCCACTGCTGCTGCTTGCCATCTCCTTTGGCCCATTTTCCTTTTCCCTTGCCTTTGTCATCTTTGCCCTTCTTACCCTTCTTTCCTCCTTTGCCCCAGCCTTTGGCCCAAACTTGGTCCACATCCATTGGCTGCGGTCCTCCTGCTTGGCATTGCTGCTGGTGCTCAGGCTCAAACTCCAGGGCGTGTTGACATTCTCGTACTGGAGAATCCATTCTCGCAAGTCGCTGTACTTCGTATCCGGGGTCATCCTGAGCTGAACTTGGCTTTTCAAAGGCTCCTTAAGGCCCATGACCACTGTCGCAACCATGAGGTCCTCGCTGAAGGTCTTGCCGCTGCTGCTCTCATAAGCTCTGAGTGCCTCCTCATAGGCAACCAGCTGCTCATGCAGGCCCACATTCTCCTTGAACTCCCACTGCGCAAGCTGACGCATGATCGCCAAAGAGCGCGTGCGCTCCTTCGGTTCCATCTCGCGCCGAAGCCTCCTCAAGGCCTCGTATCCATTCTTCTCCTTTTCCAGACCCTTGATCAAAAGCAAAGGCCTGCCTTTGACCAGGGAGCAAAGTGCTCCAAACAATCGCTGGCTGCGACTTGCTGTCTCATCCGGCAGCAGACTGCTGTCGATCTCTTCGTCCCATGTGATGTCCTCCATGTCGCCCTCGAACTCGGGGTCATTCGCAATCAACCAAGTGCACAACTGGAAATGCCACTCCTTCCATGTTCGCAGCTCCTCCTCTCTGTCTTTTGGCTTCCACTCAGGCATCCTCAAGGCCTTCAAGAGACCATTGCTCTTTGAGGCCACTGCCTGTGATTCTGCTGCCTGAGCAGCTCGCTCCGTTGTTGTAATCAATCTCGAGAAGACACTTCCCAAAGCTTGGTCAAGTCTTCCCCGGACGATCCTGTCAATCTCGTTTCGCATTGCTGCCTCTGCATCCACGGGCTGGTTCGGACCAGCACTCCCCATGCCAGGCTCCTGTCCACTCGAAGGCTCCATTGCACCCACAAGGCAGTCCCTGAACCACCTGCTCCAACCACTCGCCAGGAAGAATCGATATCCAACCCAGCGACCGCCAGAGGCCCAAACACCCCCACCTGCACTGATACCGCTTGCACTGAGATCTCCACCACACCAGGTTTCACAGGCACTGCTTGCTTTGCAAAAGTGCAGTCCACCAGAAAAAGCGAACTCCGGTTCTGCCCCAACTCCAAGGGGACTTACGACAAAAGTGTGTTCTGAAGCCAGTGGGTCGGCCAAGTGAATGGCAGCGAACCAGACGGCTAAGTGAAGGGCAGCAATCAAGCTGATCCAAGACACGCGGGATATCGGGTGAAACCAAGCCTCTAGCTGGAGCCGTGGCTCCGCTACCATGAAAGACTTTTCTCTGAACCGCAAAGGGCTGCCGATTGATATGGATACATGTGAGGCAAAAGGAGTGCAACTCTGACACATATAATCAATCAAAACCTTTTACAGAGCGTTTAACAAAGAAACTAGACAAAATATCTAAAACTCCAGAATATAAACGTTTTAAAGTATTAAACGACGCTTCTAAAAAAGTTATGGTTCGTCAAGCATTAAAAAGCTACGCTATTAAAAACAAAGCATCAATTACAGATGAAAAATCCGCCTTAAAATCTTATGCTAATTCTTATTCCATTTCAAACATAAATCTTTCAGGTCTTAAAGGTTTATCATACCTTAAATATCAAAAAGAACGCTTAAACGATTATCTTAAGAAACATAAGAGCATGAAAGTTTTAATAACAGTTGATATAATATTTGAACATGCAGATGAAGAAGAAGAGATATCACACACGATAGGAAGTAGAAGATACAATATTTTAAATGAAGATGATTTAAACAATGCTATAAACAATATGGCTAGTGATATTGAACTGTTAGTTGAAAACAAAAATCTAAAAAAATCAGGATTAAAAGTTAAGAAGGTTAATAAAATAACAATTCATTATGACAAATACGACCCTACAAGGGCAGGTAAATTTATAGAACTACCTGATTGGATATCAAAGAAAAAAGCGTGTATTAATATTAAAAATTATGATGACTTTTGTTTAAAATATTGTATTTTGTGTAGGTTTTATGACATCTACAAAAAAGACCATCCAGAAAGACTTTTTCATTATGCAAAGCTATTAGATAATGAAAGCTTAATAACATGGGATGGTGTGAACTTTCCAGCTTCAAATGAAGATATTCAACATTTTGAAGAAATAAACAACAATACCATTTCAGTAAATGTTTATACAGTTGATAATGATAACAACAAAATAAGAGTAGACAGAGTAACAAAAATAGTTAAACCAAGTTGTCATGTTAACCTATTAAGACTAGATGAGGATGATAAAAGTCATTACGTTTATATTAAAGACTATTCTCGCTTAATGGGTTCTCAAACAAACAAAACAACGAATAGAATGTTTCATTGTCATTTTTGTCAAAAAGGTTTTAAACATGAAAGGTTGCTAACAGCTCATACTGTTAAAGGATGTATGGCTAATGAAGTTCAGGCGATTGAGATGCCTGAAGAAAAAGAAAAAATGATGTTTCAAAAGCACTACAAAAAGTTGAGATGTCCTTATGTTATATATGGTGATTTTGAGTGTTTAACCACATTATCAAACGAGGGATTAAAGGGTAGTTACACGGAGTTAAGCAACCCTGTAAAGGGGGCTTACCAGGAACATAAACCAAGTGGTTTTATGTTAAATGTTGTTAATTCAATAACAGATGAAGTTAAACCATACATTTATAGAGGTGAGGATTGTATGGAACAATTTTGTAAAACAATGAATGAAATAAGAGAAGAAATATTTGAAAAGATGAAAACACCGAAGCCCATGATTATAACACACGAACAAGAAAAAGAATTTCAAGATTGTAAGAAATGCTTTATATGTGGTGGTTCATTTAATAATACTAAAGATAAAAAGAAAGTTAGAGACCATTGTCATTTTACAGGTTTATATCGTGGATGTGCCCATAACAAGTGTAATTTAGATTATTGTTTCAAATTCTTTAAAATACCAATATTTTTTCATAACCTCAAAAATTATGATGCACACCTTATAATATCAAATCTTGATAAACTCAATACTAAAAAAGATAATATAAGCGTAATAGCACAGAACAGCGAAAAGTTTATTACCTTTTGTTTAAAACAACTTGAATTTAAAGACAGTTTCAGTTTCTTATCATCATCATTAGATAAATTAGTTAAATTAACAAAATATGAGGATAATATTAAACGAGAGAACTGGACAAACCATTTCTCATACAGTAAAAATAGTGAGTATGTTAAGGATGATTATGATTTAGATTTATTAACAGATAAGGGCATTTACCCATATGACTATATGAATGATTTTACTAAATTCAATGAAACAGAGTTACCACCTAAAAAAGAATTCTACAGCCAACTAGCCGAAGAAGATATTAAAGATGAAGATTATGAAAAAGCACTACATATATGGAAACATTTTAACATTAAAAACCTCGGTGAGTATCATGACCTGTATCTTAAAACGGATGTTTTATTATTAACAGATGTTTTTGAAAATTTCAGAACAAAATGTTTAGAAGATTACGGTTTAGACCCTGCTCATTATTATACACTTCCTAATTTCGCGTGGGATGCTATGTTATTAAAAACTGGTGTCACTTTAGATTTAATATATGATGAAGAATTATATAAAATGGTTGAGAAGGGTTTACGCGGTGGTATGTGTCAAGTTTCAAAGAGAAGAGCAGAAGCAAATAACAAATACATGAATGAAATGTATGACGAAAAGAAACCGTCTTCTTATATAAACTACCTTGATGCTAATAATTTATATGGTCTAGCGATGTGTCAAAAACTACCATACAAAGATATTAAATTTGTTGATAACTTTACAGAAGAACAACTTAACTCATGGTCAGATACTAATGTGGGTTTTATATTAGATGTTGATTTAGAGTATCCTAAAGAATTACACGATAAACATGTTGACTATCCACTAGCACCGGAGATTATGAATGTAACGACAGATATGTTAAGTGAAACACAGAAAACCATTTACAAAGCATACAATCACAACAAGGAGCCTAGAGATGAAAAAACAAACAAGTTAATATTAAATGTTTATGACAAACAGAATTATGTATTACACATTAAGATGTTAAAATATTATTTGAAACAAGGACTAAAACTAAAGAAGATAAACAGAGCAATAATGTTCAAACAAAAAGAATGGTTAAAACCATGGATAGATTTTAACACAAATAAAAGAAAGGAAGCTACAAGTGATTTTGAAAAGGATATGTATAAATTAATGAATAACGCGGTGTATGGAAAAACGATGGAAAACGTGAGAGAACATATTAATTTTGAATTAGTTGATACACCAGAGCGTTTTCAAAAAGTAGTTAATGCTCCTACTTATAAGCACAGACACATCATAAACGAAAACCTAGTAGGAGTTGAAAAGTTAAAAGAAACAGTAAAACTTAACAAGCCTATATATGTAGGTATGAGTATATTAGACTTGAGTAAGTTACATATGTATTCATTCTATTATGATGTGTTGAAGAAAAAGTACGAAGACAAGGTAAGGCTAATATATACAGATACTGATAGTTTTGTAACACACATAGAAACAGAAGATGTATATGATGATTTTAATGATATTAAAAAATACATGGATTTTAGCGGTTATGATAAAGAACATAAATGTTATGATGCTACTAATAAGAAGGTGCTCGGAAAATTTAAAGATGAAGTAGATGGTAAAATAATTACCAACTTCATAGGCTTAAAACCTAAATCATATGCATTCAAAATATACAATCAAGAAAAGGAAGAAAAGAAATCAAAAGGAACTGTAAAACACAAGGTAAAGCGAGAACTGAATTACAAAAAATATTTAGAAACACTTGAAGATAACAAATGTGATACAGTATCATTCAACAGTATAAGAAGTAAAAATCATCAAATATATTCAATAAATCAGGTAAAGATGGCATTATCAAGCTATGACAATGAAAGATATTATTTAGATAAGGTAAACAGTTTACCTTATGGGCATTATAAAACATATCAATGAAGATTAATTTTATAATTCATAAGATTATAAAATAATCTTTTATAGTTTTAGCTTTCATTTGTTGTTGTTGTCTACAGAACTTGCAAGAACGAGATTTGCATTTACATTTGTTTGTAACTTCAAAAGCATGTGGAGCGAAATACTGACCACACGTTTTACACTTTATTAGGTCGTGAATGCCGTCTCTTCTTGTGTTAGTTTCATTTAAATCTACTTCATTCTTCATTACATTTAATGTAGGTTTTTTCCTTTTTATCATACTTAATCTTATAATATTCTAGAGTAGTGGCTTTAGGGTTAAGTATGTCACCGCTGTTTAGTTTCGTTAGGTAGGTGTTCCGTTTATTATCGTATGTAGCATCTTTATCAGTATTTGGTTTCGTATATCTTGGTTTCGTGTTCTTTTCTATGTTTTCAATCTTTTCATTCATTTCCTCTAGCATCTTCAATATATCCATAGTATTGACATAGCATTTCTCGTCAAACTCTTCGGTCTTACTCATATATGTATATTAAAATAATAAGTTTTTAAATAAAAGTTTTTATAAAAAGTTTTTTCAATATATTTAATCCATATTATTAAGTTTATGTAAATTCTGTAGTTCTTTCACATCTTCTTCAAGTTTCTGTAACCTTTCTTCCGGTGTTGGTTTTCTACTACCAAAACCAGTATCAGCGGTATCAACGTCTTCATGGTCGTTCATGTTTGATTGAAATATTGTGTTACCATCAGGCGTTGTTCCTCTACCAACTTTCCAACTTGTCCTGTTTTCAATTTTACTTACTACAACGTTACCCTCTTTATCTGTGCTTGTTTTTGTTTCTTTGTGTAGTGCCTTCCTATTACATTTGCAGAAATTACAATCAATAGTGCTCTTGTCCAAATGTACATCACTATTTTCTTCTTTACTCATATTATTAACAATTAGATTAAATGGTTAATAATATGACATTTCAAACTAATTCGCACATTTGCTTATGAAATGTGAATTAGGGGAACTCCTTCCGAACGCATGGGCGAGGCAATGGGGTTATACAATCTGTGCTTTTTATTGTTAACCATTATATAATAGAAATTAATTTCTAAATAGTAATAATGATAACTCCCATAGTTAAACCTGTTAATGTTAAAGAATATGATTTTAAACAATCTAAATATGAAGTGGCACCACGACTACCTGCATCTATGATTATATCTGCTCCATCTGGTTCTGGAAAAACTATATTATTACAATCGTTAATTTTGGATATTTATAGAAACTGTTT